AAACAATGGATTACTAATAGAAGAAATATACAAATGCTTTCTCCCACTACAATGCAATTTTCACAGCTGAACATGACCAAACACTATGATGTCACTTTTGGTAGCAAAAGTATGATGTCATTTTTGGTAGGCAAGTGTACCCAACATGACGTTCACTGGCAGCATAGTATTTTTTGCTAGCTTTTTGCCTTTTTTTAGTATCGCCGCCTAATTTCTCACAACGAATAGCCTCGTGTCCCAGTTAAGCAAGAGAACCGTTTCGTAGCTTTTATTTTATAGTTTTTTTTGTTTTTTCCCGTTTCGTATTAGAGGTCACCCTGAGAAAATGAATATTACGTCAAAGAGACAAAATCTGACTGTCAAACTAAGTATTGGTTATAAAACATCTATCACCCATATTTGCGGGATGTCTCGTGGTCGTCTATTGAAAACAGGTTAGATTCATGTGATTCTTGAGGATCGGCTCATGAGTGGTGCCATCGCAGAGACTTCAGGAAAATCCCTCGCTCGAGTCATAGATATTCGAAGACTTCTCATGTCTCTAGATATATTATTTGGCACCTACACAATATTATATGTATTGACAATTAAAATGAGGGCCTCCAAATACATACAGTAGCGGTCAAAAGTTTGGAAACTTTTTTATTTTTGATCTAGCGTAGCCGATAGACAATGAAATTGCCCCGAATTCACATATTATATTCAGAATCAAGTGTAGATTACGATGGGTAACATGATTTTTTGAAAACTGAAATCGCATTTGAAAAATACGAATTTTTATAAGAAATGGCGCGTCAAAAGTTTGGAAACTTCCGAATTCCAAAGCGAATTCGGCAAAATAGCTCTCAAATCCACATGATAAATTAGTTATTTGATGAGTAGCTTTGAATTTCTATGTTAGCGTCGTTTTTATTGACATGGAGTTGATTATAAAATAACCAGTTTAGCTCCGCACACTACCGCGTGCATGACACGGAAGGGCTCCGTAAAGCTGGCCAGCCGGCGGAGCGTTAGGTTCCGCCGCTAAACAATAACTTGCTTCGTGAAATGCGTTAGCTGGCCTTCCATAGAATGCCCATTTTTTTTCCAACCGTCTGATACGCGCGGTGGAGTGCGGAGCTAAAGTGGTGTCTGTAAACAGCCACCATGCATTGGATGTCAGGATGATTTAGCGGTCGAATAATATTGATGCCAATGATTTTGCAATAGAAATACCCATTATCGTATATCGCTAAACATCCATCATACATTCTTAGGGACTTTGGGACTGTAGCGGTGG